ACTCAATGAAAACTTCTGTTCTCAATGAAGTTTATGTGGTAAACTTTAAGCAATTAAATTTTAGATAAAACATATAATAAATATGCTTTACTGACATTACAAACAAATATCTTCTCAGTAAGAATATTTTTTATAAAATATAGCTCAATTGGCTGCAAAAGTTGAGAGTATAACCAGTAATTATATCTTATTTCAAAAATCAAAATAAATTTTTGTGTGGACATGTTATGTTGTAAGACTATCAATAAGAAAACTCAGGATCATAGATGACTTGCCATGTCTTGTAAGAGGTTGCATAAGGTAGCCCCAAATGTGTGGTTGATCTGATGAAACAGCAAAATCTTGTATTTTGAGGGAGAGATCACCATTGATCACCTTTTAGTATGCCCCATTTGGAAGGCTGGTCTCCTCAATAAGTATTGATTAATTTGCATCCCTTTGCATAATTTAGATGTTCAACAAATATGTTGATTTGATTTAAGATCTATTTTTGTAAAAATCCCAAGTTCTGATGTAGTAAGTGATTTAGAGTTTAAAATATTTCCCTTCTTCATAAATAGCAATTGGCCTTTTGGTTTCTGTTTAATGATTGTCAATTGTGTTACAGATGGTCATGGAATAGTTCAAACAAAAGCAGTGCATGAAGTGAAATTTCATGAGTGTAGATAATTATGAAAATGTCCATGTGTGTTATTTAAGATGACTTGAATGATCTGAAAATCTTCAAATATCCATTAAGTGTTTGAGGGACTAAAGGATTGTGGTTTTTATCTAGTGGAAATTTCAAAATTTGAAATAATTTCTCTTTTCTTCCAACATAAAGGCTTTGCTCAAATCTCTGATTTTGGGAAACATGGGATTAATCATCACTCTGATTAAGTTTGTCCACATTGAAGACAGAAGTATACTGACACCACAATAGAGTGAGACTTGTAGCTCCCAGGCCAGAAAGTCCCAAAAGATTAATATTAATTAAATAATAATGTTAATAGAAGAATTTACAGTGTGCTTATTATGATGCAGTCATGGTTTTGAGGATTATTGTTTTATATTTTCTATCACATTGGATTTTAAAATTCCAGGAAGTTCCAGTTATTAATTAAGTTGTGGAACAGGTATAAATTCTGTAATTCTGTCTCTATAAGATGAAGAAGAATTGCATCTGATAATATCCACATAATTTTTTCTTCTAACAGATTCTTTTGATATTTTATTGGTAATAAAATATTAACATTTTAATACAATTTGACCATGTTGTTATAAAGACAACTAATAATTATATTAATAGAAGATCTGTTTGAAATCCAAATGATAATCTTTTGAAAACTAATATATAGAGTATTGGTTTAATTCTGGCATTCATTAGCATGACACTCATTGTTGAATTTCTCTCTTGTACACAATTTTGTAGTTTTGTTGTTGCTGCTCTGAAGTGCTTATTCACTTAAATGTGTTTTTAAATGAAGAAGATACCTCATAGAGCAGGTTGAGAAAAACTTTTTATCATGAGAGCACTCATTACACTTACCAGTGACACTTGAAATTTTTATTCCCAATGTCTTGAATTTGAATTTTCTGTCTTGTGTGTCCCATCCTATGTCTTCCATATTGATTGTGGCTTGTTAATTGTTCACATTCTGAAATAGTATGTAATTAGTTTGTTTTGGTTTTTTTTCACTTCAATTTGTTTTTCTCTTTCTTTAGTATTCTCCATCTGCCATCTGGATACAGAATTTTGTTTTGCTTGAGAAACCCAATTGCATTGTATCCTTTAATGTTTACCACTAATTTGGTTTCTCTGAGAAATTTCACTCTTTATTTATTAATATGGACTATCAGTATATATTATTCAGAATATATGAAACTTTTAAATAAAATTAGAATTTGAACCTACATTGTTATAAAATCATGATTATCTCTTTAAATTTCAGACAGTGAGGTATTTAACGTTAGAAGTTCCAAACTTACCTATTTTAAGTAAATATGAATTCAGAAAAACACAGTTCCTTCAGTTTCTACTTATCTACTTTCTTTTATGTCAATGTTTATAAATTAACAATTGTTATTTTTTGACATATCATTTTGACATATCATACATGTATGGAGTCTAACTTCTCATCCTTCTGGTTTTACATGATGTAGAATCATACTAGTCATGAATCATATGTGCATAGGGTAATAATGTTCAATTCATCAACTATCCTTCCTATTCCCATGCCTATCCCCTCCCTTCACTCCCCTCTGCCTAATCCAAAGTACCTATATTCTCTAGCACCTGCCTTATTGTAAATTAGCATATTCATATGGGTGAAAATATATATTTTAATATAATCTTTAGATAAAGTCATTCCCAGGGAAGTTTTTGAAAACATCACTCCTCCATAAAAAAAAAAATCTACTACCTCTTGGCCACTTTACTAAGTAACAGTTACTTAGCTTATTTTGTCTTTAGTCCTCATACCAACCCTGTGAAACTGATGTTCTTGATGCTTATTTTGCAGCTAATGAGAGGTCATCTTGGGGCTAGGGCTGTAGCTCAGTGGTAAAGCACTTGCCTTGCATATGTGAGGCACTGGGTTTGATCCTCAGCACCGCATAAAAATAAATAAAGGTACTATCTACAACTAAATATTTTTTTTTTAAAAAGAGAGGTCATCCTGCTAATAATCATCTTTGCTAGTATTTGAACTGAAATTTACCTATTCCAAAGCTTATGACTTTTCTAAACTAGAATGGTAAAAAATTACCAGAAAGAATATCACTATTTTATGAGAAAATAAGACAGTTAATGATTGTTGAATTCCATGTTATCGCCATGCATGGGGACTTGTCACTAAACAACGCACAGAACAAATTGCAATATAGAATGAGCATTTGTAGCAGTTGTAATCCATTCTAGTTTAAATCACTAAGAAAATTTGTGTGTAATAATCATTTATTGTCCTCCTTAAGTCTTGAGCTGATTACTTCATTCTCCGCAGAAATAAAGTCACAATGGTGTGGTTAATCATCCTTTTTTTTTTTTTAAAGCATGCTTCCACAATATTTAAATGTATGCTTTATTTCATCATTTTAATTTACAGCAAATGTTAATTTGCAACAAAGTCTTCAAAGTTATAAATACTTGCCTAACATAACTACTTTTTCTATGTAGTTTTCCTTTAAAGTCCCACAGTAGGCAATTTCTGATAGTACCTATTTTAGGAGAGCTTACCATATCCTGGGTTGATGGTCTGCAATAGCAAGATGAATCTGGGAAAACTATCTAGCATAAGTGAAATGAGGGACAATATAGATGAACATTTTAATATTAAAATTCTTTACATTTTCACATTTTACTGACTTTTAACTTTTCACATTTTTAATAGCTGTTATGCTCCTTAACCTAAAACAAAAGCACTATTAGTTTCATTTTTCAACATCTGGTGGTAGCAATAATGCAATGAAATTACACAAGGCATCTCAGAACTCAGAGCAATGGTATTCAAAGCACAGACCTCAATCAGTTAAGCAATACCTGGGAGTTTGGTAGCTTCTCCAGCCCCCACCCCAGACCTTCTGAATCAAAATCTCTGCAGAGATTCTAAGGGAGGGCTCTGCACAGCAGAATGTTTAAAGGTTTCAGATGCCCAGATATCCATGCCAGTCTCATAGTTGGTGTCAGTGAAGGTGGTGCATTTGCAGTGGAGATCCTCCACACAGTCATTGCCAGTATCCACCAGGGTGGCCTCCTGCTCATCTTTCCAACAGAGTCAAGGGAGTGGTCCAGGTAAGGCAGAATGTTATTGGAATTGTACTGGTACAGGCTGAGATTTCCATCCTGGAACTTGAGAACCACAGGAGTCTTTGAATGGGCTCTGCAGTCAGGTCTCCATGGTAACCACCTCCTTCCTCCAGCTTTGGCTCTGGTTGTTCAGTGGCATCCACATGCCCTTTCCGTGTGGCCTGGAACTTGGAAGAAGACATTGGTACAGGGCATGTGACCATGCATAAACAAAAGTGGCCATGGAGGTTAAACCTGCCTTCGTTCTTTTATTATCCCAATTCATACCTGCTTTCTCAATATTGATGACAATCTCTTCTACAACCTTCCTAAACACTAGATTATGCACTTCTAATCCTTATTTTCAGTTTAAGCATTGAAGTCTTCTGTCAATATGTACCAAAAGCATTCATTACATCTACATCAGTCTATAGTGAGAGGTAGTAAGATGAGAGAACATTAAGACAAAAGGTCTGAGGAAAGAAACATCAGGTAAGACTCAAGCCTGCTACTCTGTCCTGGGATGACTATATAATGTATTGTGATTTCTGAAAGTAATCTGTTGTCTGAGGCAAAATTTAAGAGCCTTTCCTGAGCTAACTCTTTTCTCTGAGCACTTGTGTTTACATACACATGTCACCTTCTTTTTTTTTTCTACTAGTTGTCACCTTCTTGTTGGACATTTCAGGCATGTGTATAGTCTCTACTCACCTTGATTTCCGGCTCCATCTGTAGAATTCTTGTTACCCTTTTCCCCTTTTTGGAGCAGTGTTGGGCACAGGTAGTGCTGGGGATGCCACTGACAGCAGCCATCCCCAGGCACAACAGATTTCCCTGGCATGCTTCATTTACTAAAAATAGTTTTTGGCACTAGCATAAAACCTTTCAGCCTTGAGTCTTAAATGGTTTCAAAAACATTAGTTCTTGCAGAATTCCTGCAAGGCACGTATTATAGAGTCACAGATTCATGGAGACTTGGAGATAAAAGGAACTTCAGAGATCATCTATCTCAACTCCCTTCATATTTCAGAAGGAAAATTAACATCTTAAAAGGTGAAATGAGGGCTGGGGATGTGGCTCAAGCAGTAGCGCGCTCGCCTGGCATGCGTGCGGCCCGGGTTTGATCCTCAGCACCACATACCAACAAAGATGTTGTGTCTGCCGAGAACTAAAAAATAAATATTAAAAATTCTCTCTCTCTCTCTCTCCTCTCTCACTCTCTCTTTAAAAAAAAATGTGAAATGACTTGACCAAGTAGATCTCTTTTTGAAAGCATGAATTTCAGATAGTGGAATCACTCCAACCCATAGAATAAATATTTAATTATTGTAGAAATTAAAACTTAAAAGTTCTTTCCTTAGCCTCAGGGGGGAAGTCACTTTATCTTCTCTGAAGGCAGAACTGTGGGTTGGAGGAATGTAGAGAGGAAATTTTGTAAAATTATTCATCAGTAATGAGCAATAGACTAGAAAAAATTTGTAATACTTTGAGCAGAAAAAAACAAAGTAACTTATACTCACTAAATTTCAAGACATGGGTTGGGAGAAATAAAGAAAAGAATATTAAATCTGACAACCTCTCCTCCCCTTTTAATTCCTATATCCAATCGCATATTATTACTTTTTCACCCCCTTTCCCGTCTCAGTATACTAATCTTCTCTCACTTTTAAGGATGAAGGTGTTTGGGATAAGAAGAAAATTGGCTATGAAGACAATATTTGTTCATGAGTAGGGTGATGTAAATATTACCATGGAAGTTTTTGCATCTGTTTTGGAAGAGGGAGAATGGCACTGAAACTACTAAAATCATATTTATTTACCATCTTGTGGGTTAATTTTGCATTGGTGTGACCAAAATATCTGACAAGAACAACTTAGAGGAGAGATAGTTTGTTTTGACTCATGGTTTCAGACATTTAGTTCATGGTGGGCCAATTCCATTGCTCTGGGTCCAATGTGAGGCAGCACATCATGGCAGATGGGTGAAATAGAGGGAAACTGCTTAGCACCTAGATTCTGGGTGTCAGAGAGACAGAGGAGAAGGGGCCATAGTGAAGATGAACATTTCCAGGGTACACTCCCAGTGACCCACTTCCTCTAGGCACAACCCACCTGCCTACATTTACCACCCTGGAAGTTAGTCCATTTAAACTAGAATGGGCTATTTAGGTTACAGCTCTCACAATCCAATCACTTCAGCTCCGAACATTCCTGCATTAATATGGGAACTTCATATCCAAACCACAACACTATGGGTGCAAGGTTCTTTCAGTGATTCAAAGCTGCCAATGAGAGCTTGAAAGCAACAGAAAAAATAATTGTGTGTGTTTTTCACACTACCATAAAGTTAATAGGACTAAATTTTTAATAGTGATGCAAACAGTGTTATAAAGATAACTGCTGTGGGAACAAATGGAAAGAAGATATGCATTCTTTTGGGGGCTCGATGTGGTGGCATATATCTGTGATTCTAACTACTAAGGGAACTAAGATTAGAGGATTGCAAGTTCAAGTCCAATCTGAGTTAAGTGAGTTAAATGCTGTCTCAAAATAAAGAACAAAAAAGGCTCAGTAGTACAGCACCCATGTGTTCAATTTGCAGTACTGAAAATTAAAAAGAAAGATGGATTTGGGAAGATTCAAAAAGCAATTCAAAGTGAGTCTAGAAAAAAAATATTCTATAAAAATGGTTTGAAAACAGAAAGGCATTCCAGGTGAAAAGGAACATATTCTACCTGATGCATTACATTCTTTCTTTGTTCCCGGAATGAATTACAGTATTATGGTGCAGCCAATGGGCTAATATGTGAAAAAATAATGCAAGAAAATGAAGATATGAATCATGACTAGTAACAATGAGGAGATTGCACTTCAGGGAAATGATTTGAAACATTTTGGGAAAATTCTTCCATTGGAATGATGGATACTGAGAAAAAAGGGGGAAATGGAGAGATATTGAGATCAATGAGAGAAGAAGGAAGTCTATAGAGGTTCCCACTGAATGCTACCTAATGTAATCAAATAAAAATAGCAGTACCACATTAGAAAACATAGGGATTTCAATAAGTTATAAAATCAATTTCCTTAATCCTTCTTTTCCAAGAGACATGTTTGAAATCAAGAAATGTATTTCTCCAAAGAACACAGTGAAAGAACTGTGACTGATGTCCAAAGATTGTGAGGAAGCGTTAAGACAATAATATAAACGTGAGTAGGTGATATTTTAAGTAAAAATATATGTTGTCTCTTTGAATTCATAGTAGGTTGAAGGAGGAAGGAGGGATTTTACAGATTACTGTTGAAATGTATAGCCACACAGATGACTCTCAAAATAATTACATTGCGTGAAAGAAGCCAAATTAAAAATATATAAATCAATAAAACCACTTTTGTGTAGTTCCATTTATATAAAATTCTGGAAAAAGCAAACTAATTTCTAGGGACAGAACCAATTTTAGTAACTGCTTGAATATGGGGACAGGATAGGTTTCCTTATGAAGGGGCATGAGGAAACTTTTGTTTTTTATGAGCATCTTCACTTCTTTTTTAAAAATATTTTTTGTTGTTGTTGATAGACCTTTATTTTATTTATTTATACGCAGTGCTGAGAATGGAATCCAGTGCCTCACACATGCTAGACAAGTGTGAAGTGTGCTACTGCTTAGCCACAGCTCTAGCTCTTCATTTCTTAGTATGTTGATAGTTTCATAGAGGTGCATTTGTGTCAAAATTTACCAAATACTTTACACATGTGCATTTTCTAGTGTGTCAGTTATATCTCAATAAAGCAATATTTTTAAAAGGAGATAATATAGATGAAAAAAAAAACCTCAAACACATTTTGTTCCCAGAATGTATAGTGGTCTTAACAAATACTTACTTGGATAACCCCTTACTTGAATATCTTTTCATCAATGGAATAGGGAAGCTTATTCCAGAGTTACATTAAAAAATTATTAAACTATTGCATGTCCATGAAACATAGAACATCTTTGCAATTCCTTGTTGGAACGGTCCTGTATCCATTGCCAGGTTGCTTGTTATCTGATGCCAGCTATGACTCGGATTTACTGTAATTGCCAAATCTACCCTCATATTATCACCTGAAAGATGTGAATTAAAATATATACACCACACTTCAAAGACTTTAAAAAAAGAAGTTATAAAGAAATATTTATAATAGATTTGTTGGCACTATGCAAGTTCATAGGGTTTAAAGATGATGAGCAGGACATGGTCCCTTCTCTCTATAAGCTTCTGACAGATAAGAAAATCGATTATAAGATAACCTAATATGTTATTATGTTTTGAAAAAAAATAGAGAAGAAGTGCAGAGGAGGAAGGAACTAAAAATAATAAAACTATAAAGCTTTATTGGAACCATAGAAATTATAAAGTATAGTGGTTTGCATGTTAACATAAAATGTATATTTATCTGAGGATAGAAGAAATGATATTTCAATTGCTTCCTGAAGAAGAAATATTTCAATGGACAGGAGAATGGAGGTTGACTATGGAGAACATGTACAATAGCATAGACTCATAAGGCAACACATTTTAAGGAAGATATATAGAAATTCATTGGGCTTCCAGGAAAGGAAAAGTGTGAGAGAACACTGGGAGATGAATCTGAAGATAGTTTGGGGCAATATTGTGGTGGCCTTATCTGCCACCTTGAATAAAATATCAACATGCATAATTAAGGAAAAACTAATGAGTATGTTAAAATAACCAGTGTAAAAGTGTTTGATTAAATATTTAAATTTAAAAGTATATTTTAGTTTTAATTGATACATAGTTGTGAGTATTTATAGGGCACAGTGTTACGGTAGCTCAATACATATGCACTTTAACAGTATTCAAACCATAGGGGTTTTTTTGTAAGGTGTATATGAAACAATAATTCCAAAATGTGTAGCATAGTTTTTGATAAAAAGAAAACTCTCAAACGTTAGATATTATGATTGTGATCACGTTGTAAGGGGACTGAAAAGACCAGTGTATGGCCAATTGTCTTTTTCAGATTGGATATATGGGGCCTATAATAAATGGAAAAAATTATATATTGGACATAAGAATGCCTGTTTCTTGTCACAGCCTAATATTAATGAAGGGGACAATATGGTGTCTTGGATCTTTGGATTTTTTTCAATCTATGAAATGATGGAACTGGATCACCATTGGATTTAAGAGGTACTCTTTGAAGAATCTTATAAATTTAGGGATTTTCCTATTTTATTTTCATTGAGATGGAACTCAAGTATTTCTACTTTTGCTTCAACCGGAATGTCATAGCTAATTTATTTTTTAGTTCTGGATCACATAAAAGGATTTTGCTTGCCCAGAGTTATCTCACAGCTATGTTAACGTGCAAACCACTATATTTCACAATTTCTATGGTTCCAATAAAGCTTTATAGTTTGATTATTTTTAAGAACTGAATAATTAACAAAAATTCAAAAAGCTTTCATGAATATAATCATGCTAGAGATAGAAATAATTAAATTGTTATTATTAAGATGGAGAAATTCATATCATATATGACAAATGTAATGCTTAATGTTTTTTGTCACTCAGTGTAATTGTCTTAAAAGCATCCTGAAAGTAGCATCATTATTCCATCTGAAAGACAAGGAAATCGAAACTCAAGTGATTTCAATTTTACCATTGATTATTGATAGATTTGGAATATAACACAAATTTAGCTGAATCAAATTTGAAGTTTCATTCCTTTGCAATTAATAAATCACTAGTTAAAAGGTCAACCATTGAATAAGAAATATTTCAAGGTACCATCCAAGCTGCCTCTTGTTTTCAAATTGTTAGATTTCACAGGCTTCACTGTCCACCTACGCTGTGTCCAGCACCTTTGAAATGAGTAAGACCCAGAATGAGTATGATTAATGAGTAAAATAGGCTTTTAGTACGAAATTATAATAAGATCAAATAGAAGACATGGGTATAGTCTAGGTTGTGTAAAGGAAGGAAAATGTAAAGAGATCACCAATAGAGTTCATTTCAGTGCGTCTGTGAATAGTTAACAGCTCACCTTCCTGAGTATAGGTGCAATACACTGAGTATAGTCAAGCCTGTTAAGCAGGAAGGAGAGGTTACAGGTGTCCTTTCACATCAATTTCAGGCAAATGTAGTAGGGAACAAAGAATAGGTTACTTTAATCATTTATGTCCCTGATTAATAGATGAGATCTTGTATATTATCTGTCAGGTCTTCTAGCCTTAGCAACGATGGCCCACTTCTGTTTCTAAGGTTGTCAGCCATAATCATCCATATCAGAAAAGGACCAGGAGTGGAAAACACTGATGACATCTTCAAGTAACATTAATGTCCCAGTTTTCAGCAAAGCTACTGCAGCAAGAAGAACTGAATTCTGATGCAAGGTACAAAAGGCAAATATAGGAGTTACTTTGGTTGCAAAGAGGAAATTCAAGCTTTTCTGAAGAAGGTAGTGGAATTTTATGTGTATGAAATTGATGTTTCCCTTGTCATAATTATGCTTATTTCTGATACTATCTATTGCCACCTGGTGTTTGAAGAAAGAGAGTGATGTTTTCAACAAAAATATTTTCTAGAGCTTAACAACTCAAGAGATGTCCCATCCTATTTGAGTGGCTTTTGGGAAAAGAATATTCAAATAATGGCAATAAGAATCACCATAAAAATTAAATTAGTATTATACTTTAAAAGGGAACCACTGAAATTACTCAGTAAACAGTACATTGTATCTTGTGCTCCCTTTGAAGATGTAAGTAGCTAGTTGCAGATTCCTTAAAATGACAACAAGCTCTGAACCTCCACAGCAATTTGCTTCATATTAAATAGCATTTCAGCTATTTTTTTTTTGCTGGAATTGATATGACAAAGAAGCTTATTTATTTTCCTTTCATTTGAGAAGCTGCTTCCTTCCTGGCAGTAATGAGGTTGGCATCACTGAAGCAGACCTGATCCAGATTTCTAATGCGCACTTGGAGAGGGCTTTCCAAACTGCAAGATCTCTGGATGGTGGTTGCCAGCTTGCACAATCCCAGTCCTTAAAGGGCTACCTGCTCCCAAGGTCAACTGTTGCTGTCATAGATGGACATGTTGTAAGGGCCTTTGAAAGAAGCATACCTTCTAGAAGCTTTTGGAACTTTTGCTTTTCTGGAACTTTGACAAAATTACTGTATTTCTTCTTCATGGTGGTAACTCAAATTTTGCTACATTTCTGCTGCATGCCCTGGTACAGGACATCAATTCCACAGGATATCAGCAACATGAGGTATGCATGAGAGGCAGGTTAGATGAAAAGGAAAACAACTAGAGCAGAGACGTGAAAAATAAATCCTGAGCACAGTCTTTACCAGTTAACTCAGTACCCCAGAACAGATGTTTATTTTTAGCCATGCTTTTCTCATTATATTAAAAAATAGATTCATAGCAACAACAAATTATGATCTGAGGGGTAGGACAGAGACTCTAGAGCTAGTTATGTCAGTGCATGTCTGATGCACATCTAATGCAAACTCTTTGACCTCTCTGAATTTCTTGGTTTGTGTACAGAGCTTCTAAATTAGGTACTCTGATATAGAGTTAGAGATATATTTTAATTAATATAGTTTACATAATATATTCCAGGGTTTTAGGTGCGTGTTTTTTTTATGTAAACAGTGTTTACCACAAGAAGATATTCTACTAAGAATGTCATTTGAATTTTCCCACAAGAAATTTCTATTAGCCATATTATTGAATCTCAACCCCATATTCTGTGTTGACCATTTGTAACAGTAAGGTAAATCCAGACAAAATCATTATAATTGAGAATAGATGGGCCAGGAAGAGCATAATTAAAATTGCTGGCAATATGACATGTAAAATTGAAATGAACCTGAAACTTTTACAACTTAGGTCATAAGTTGACAAAGTGGATAAGGGGATATAAAAACATGTTAAATATTCTAGTTTCTATTGCATTTTGAGTTGGATATAGATACTGGGAAAATCAAATGTAAGTAGAAAAGTAATTCAAATGTGTATTAAATTTCAATTTAATTCATTCACAAAGAATGAATATAAATTGTAAAATATCTAAAATACTGAAATTTGATTGTCCCAAATGAATGAGACAAATGGAAATGAGATATCTTTCCTTTTTCTTCCATTGACAGAGTATCTCCAGTGTTGGTGACCCAACTCCCAAGGGACAATTATTGGTCTAACATGACTGAAACTAGGTGCATCAGAATTCTTTTCTGCTACTTTGTTTTATGGAATATGAGATTAAAAAGATTTTTTGTTCCCACTTAAGACTCAGAGTTATAAGAATATGAAACTGAAGTCATTCAGTATTCAAATAGGGGTTGTGTGGAGAAGCAGTTCAAGAAAATGATGCTGCAAAGAAAGTAATCTAAGCTTGGAGACAGGAGGGAAGAGTTCACCCTGACACTGGCTAAGTCCTGACATCCTGCTTATACCAATTCCCTCTAATTGTTCTGTTTTAACTTGCATAAGCCTACATGTGGACACATGCACATTTTTTACTTTTTTTTTTTTTGCATTGTGCATCTATTGCTTGGAATATAGAATCTTAACCAAAAGCTTAAGAAGAAAACAATTGTGATATCAAGATTCAATGGTATATTAATAGTTTAAAATAATTTACCATATTTAAGTCTCATTATATCTAAACATGTAGAATTAACATGACTACAAGTATGAGAGGACAAAAAAAGCAGACCAAATTATGTGTTGTGCATGTATGGATATATTAAAATGAGTACCATTATGAATAACTATAATGCACCAATAAAAATAAAAATAATACAGGTAATTAAAATACATCAAAAACAATGAAAATAAATATGAATAGTTAAGTTTTCCTAGGAGGGAGCTATTAGATTTGGTAAAAAAGTTAAACAGAGAAACTAAGAATAAAAACAAATAGACAGCTCAAGCGACATTACTTAAATGCTGTTTTTCAAGAAATGTATTCCAGACAAAATAATACAGAGCATAAAAATGTAGGATGGAAAAAAATCTGATGTAAAATATAAAAAGTGAATGTGGCAATACTGTTATAATAAAGAACAGAATTCAATGTGAAGGTTATTTATTTGGGTAAAGAGGCCTGTTTTATTATGATATTTGCTCCACTTTACTAGGACAGAATTGGGAGCCTTTGTTCTCCTAGCTGCATCAGCTTAAAGTATGCAAGTCAATCCAATGAAACATGCTATGGACGTAGATAAAAACATCACTGGAAGGGAGATGCTACTCTTCTTCTCAGAAGTCATCAAATCAAACAACATCTACAATCACAGTGTAAATAAACATGACTCATGGGATTTAGTCACAAAGCAACTATTTTGATTTTCATTGTTTCATTTCATGAGTGTTCTGTGGGGAATTCCTACTTTTCCCTGCTCAAGCAAACTGTGAAACTACTTGGTTAATTCTAAACAAATAATTACTATTTGCATTAATTTACAGTTTATCAACTTATCCATTAAAATATCCAATACTTTGTTATAATCAAAAACTCCAATCTGATTTCAGGAATTTCCTCTTTTTTCATTGTATGCCCTACTGAAGGAAGATGGCTAATGAAGGAGACTGGTTGACTTCATCTCTCTGTCTTTCCCTAGTTCTTTTACTCCTCCTCTTTCCTTCTGGCTCATGGGTCTTGTCCAACATCACTAATCATCAAGGAATATAAAGAAAATCTACAATGAGGAATAACCTCACAGCTCTTATAGCTGATAGCTATTATTGAAAAAATCCAAATAAATAAAAAAAAATAGATAAGCACCAGTATGGACAAGAGAATTCCTGTACAGTGTTTTTGTGAGCGTGGAATGGTATAGCCATGATGGGAAACAATATGAGGTTTTCTCAAAAATTAGAACTAGAACAACTGTATGATCTAGCAATCCTACTATCTAGCATATATCCAGAGGAAATAAAATCAGTATGTTAAAGAGACAGTTGTACTCCCACATTCATGGCAGCATTATTCACAATGACAAAGATAAGGAATCAACCTAAGAAACTGTGTTGTATTATTCCATCTCAAAAAGGATGGAGATCTTGCCATTTGTGTAAACATTGGTAAAACTAGAGGATATTATGTTAAGTAAAAGAAGCAAGACCCAACACAGAAATATACTGCACAATCTCACTCATACAAGAAATATTTTTAAAAAGTATAAACTGTAGAAACATAGTAAAACAGTGGCTATCAAGGGCAAAGAGAAGGGGTGAGATGGACGATGGGTAAATATGGGTCAGAGACACAGAGTGACAACTTATAGATCTACAGAATGGGACTATAGTTAATATTATGGTATTGCTTTTTGGAAATTTCCTAAGAGAGTATAGTTCAAAGATCCTTAATACACAGAAGAAGCTATGGGAGGTGATGAAAAGAGAATTTGTTGGACTAAAGTAATAATTGCACTACATATATAGCAAAACATCATGTTGTACAACTTGAACATATAAAAAATGGAATTTATTTAAGTTTATGAGGGAAGTGATCTTATAGATAGTTGGCAGGAAATAATTGAGGGAAAGACTTTTTTTTTTAGTAAGTAGCACACATAATTGCAAATCCAGGTGGGAAAATTAATATTATAATTATATCTGTGGTCATACACAAAGATGAACTCTTTACAACTCAAAAGCCTACATTTAGAACTTGTTCACAGAATCCTAAAGGAAAAAAAAACCAAGAATATCTTTTTTAATGCTGGTAATGGCAAATGACCTCTTAACATTTTTATAAGCCCAGATCTATAAAAGACTGAGAAATATGAGACCATGATTATTACAATAGTCTGTAGAATGAAAATTATCTCAAATAAAGTAAAAACACAAACACCAGATGGAGAGAAAATATCTGAAAAAAAATGTAAAAAATATAACATATAATAGATTACTAATGATAGTATATGTTAAAAATGCTAATAAGTTAAAGAATGTCAAGTAACCCAATAAACAACTGAACAAATGATGACAAGTACTTAGTGAGTACAGATATAAATTGATAATAAATAAAATTGGGCTTGCTTACTATCACCAAAAGTAACCAGAGAAAAACACTGAAACAATAGTGTACCACTTTCTTCTTGGATGATTGGAGAAAGTGAGATAACAGTGAGTTACTGCAAGCATCTGGGGAACCTGGCACTATTCTTGATGAGTATGTACATCTGTGCAGTTTCCTGGAGAGGTATTTTTCTGAACCTAATAGGTTAAAAAAGAAATGTTTTCCTTCGGACTCAGAAGTTTTATATCTGAAATCACGTATGTGCACCAAGGATGCCCAGTAAAATTTGTCTTTATCTTGTTGGCAATGCAAAAAATAAATTAAGAAAAATAATAAACTAAAACAAATAAACAAAAAAGATTCTAAAAATAAAAATAGGGCACAACTTACAATGTTCTATCACTAAAGAGTGTTTAAAAGTTGTTGCTATCAATTTATTTACAGAGGCAGCATATGGAAAAGAGAACAATGTTGGCACCTGTTAAGCACTACTGTGGAGAGAGGTGATTTGAATCAGAGTCTTTCTGACTCTCTTGTGGCTATGTTGTTCTGGGAACTGCCTGTGCAAAGGTGCAGGTCAAGATGGCCCAGTTGCTATGGTGATATTGAAGCATGGATGCAAAGACACTCCGCAGTTATCATTCAAGACCTTGAGTTTAGACACCAATTCCCAGAGATAAAGGATTCTGAACAAAACAAAATGACCCTATTATCTCCCCAGTCCTGTGTTCTTCAGGTTGCTTGCTTTGCTAAAACTTTCCTACAAATAACCTTTTTATGATGAAACCTATATAATAAACATGCTGAGCTAGCTCTGGGAAACTGTTTCTCCATCAAAGAGCAGTGTCCCACTTGGCCCCATCTTTTTCTCTCTATGTGTGACTGTCTGTCTTTTCTTTATCCCTCATTGCCCCTCATCCAGTTTTCCTTGATTAATGGCCTCGGCTGAGAGCAGAGATGGAGGGCTGAGGCACATTACATGTCAGTTTGTTTTGCCCTCCCACAGAATTGACCTCTCTATGAAAGCAGTGTGTTGTTTCATTCACTGTTGTATCCCCTTGGCCTGGCACACAGTAGTCGCTCAATAATTAAAAATACCCTTATATACTTTCAACTTTCATCTTTGATAGTCCCTCTATATCCAATTTCTTGTCTTTCTCTGATTTCTGAGAGATTGACCTGGTGTTCCCTTATCCTTTGGCTTTTAGTTTGGATTCACTTATACAAGCACCAACAGAAATGAAGAGTGAGAAATGGTTTCTGGTATTTATACACTGCTACTTCTGCCACATTGCTAGAGACACAGCTGCTACTGTATTCCTCTACCTACTGCCAGACTTCCCACTGGGCAAGTCTGGGCGAGCCTCCCATGGTCACAGCTTTCACTGGGTTCCAGTAACAAGAAAAAAAAATTTATGTTCCTTTATCCTCAGCCTTATAGGTGGCAACTGCTTCCTCATATTGCCAATATTTGAGTACCTCACCATCCCTTTCTGGTTCTCTTAATCCTTCCCACAAATGTTACTCATAGGAACCATAACTGATATACAAACTGTGCTTTGCCACAACGCTATTAAAGAGGTGAGGCGGAACCATATATGTAATGTCAAGAGCACAATTCCACTATGAATATGGTAGTTTTCAAATATCTCTCTCCATGCCTAACATGTATAATTTATTCCAAATAACCAAGATTTGCCATGTTTTGTTATTACAGATATTTCAATTCCATAATATCATATAATAAAAATGATTTAAATATATAGTACATTCTTGAATAATTCAGTGGCCTTATAAAGACTTTAATTCTTTTTAATATGAATGACTGATGATCCTAGACAATCTATGCCATTCACAGGAGCAATACTGTGACACCCGTGCAATTCCGTTCTGAGATTTTACATTCTCTGGCTGTATCACAGGAACAAGGATTCCATGGCAACACCAGCAGGGCAGCTGCAGCACCGTTCCCAAGCATCATGCCCTGTCTGCAGCACAGTAGCAGCATGCACTACAATTCCTTCAATGGTTATGACACATTGGTTTATAAATTGGTCAAAAAGCAGACTATAAAGGTTTACAACATTCACTAGTGTTTATACATCCAGATAAGCCATCTTCTGTCATTTTTAAATGCCAAGAAAGTGATACTGAAACATCCAAGTAGGAAAGGCAACTACTTCTAAGTATGGAATTGGGATTGCATGGGCAAAGGGGAAACTTGCAAGTTTAAGGAAGTAAAACAAAGTCCCAGTGTTTTAAAATATGAGATATAGACTCTAAAGAGTCAACGTCAATTTATACTAATAATTTCTGCTGTGTGTGTGTGTGTGTGTGTGTGTGTGTGTGTGTGTGTGTGTTGATGTTTTATCTTCTTTATGTCACCATCTTATTTTTGGAGAGATGTTCATCATGTTTAACTGCAATTTCATTATTTTGGTGCATGTCTTATTATTGATTACGTTAGTAGTAAACATCTTAAATGGTGAAACATGAGTTCATTTGTGTTTATGTCTCACCATATTTTTAAACACAGAGGAAGGATGACTGAATTTAAGGTACACATTGTGAAGCAAAGTTTTCTCATCGGTGCAATATTCTAGTTCACAGTGTGTGATCACGAGTGAACATTGTTACTGAAGAGCCAGAGGTTGGAGGAGAAAAAACTGAGGTTACCCTGTTAGGGCTCCTCTGTAAACAGAGCAGACAGTGAGGAGCATGTCATGACAGGAGCAGGGACAGCTGTAGGGAGACACTCCATTCCCCTCACTGATTTTTCTTCTCTCTACAGGATGGCCATGCTCGTCAGCCTGGTGTCCATTCAGGAACTAGAAAGTTGTCACAGGAAAGCAGAGAGCTGAAACTCCAAATCTCAGTTCTTGTGTTCTGAAGAAACAAGATTTAAAGTCAGACACCAAAAGTCATGCGTGAGAACTTTATTAGAAGTGAAAGTGAGGGGAAAATAAAGTAAAAGAAAAGTGAAGCTTAAGCAAAAAAGCAGTCGAGAGAGAGAAAGAGAGAGAGAGAGAGAGAGAGAGAGAGAGAGAGA